GTCCAGCAAGATACAATACCAACTGAGCTAACGAGGCGCCCGTGAACAGTCGTGTCACACGATCCTGTGTGGTCAGTCAGGTTAGAATAGCAACAGGTCAGTCCCAGTGACCGATGAAGACACCGGCATGGGTAACTACATCAAAGTCATCTAGGAAACTGTGCTCTGTGAGCCTTCCAAAATGGTCACCTACCATATAAACATGTAAAGTTCTTTTTTAGTAAGAGTTTTACAGCACTTGCAATTCAATATGGTCATACGAGTGCCGTGTTACAAGAGAGTAACAAACACAAAAAAGGAGGAGGGGAGATAAAGAAGATAGATGTTTGGTTCGTTTTAGTAGAGGTTTTGCGGCGCTCGCAACTGCATAAGGCCATATGAGCGCCAGAAGATTAGAGGTGTTACAAGAGAGTAACAAACACAAAAAAGAAGGAGGGGAGATAAGGACAATAGATGTTTGATAGGAAAGAAGAAGCAAACCACACCAGAGCACCTGCCAACCACCTACCACAAACATGTGAGGGAAAGACATTATTGAGGCCAGTTCATACAGAAACTTGAGCTGTTTACAATTTCTCAGACCTGAAGACAAACACTCAAATCTACCATGTTTGACAGTCAATTTACTTGTTGTAAGTCTCAATGACCTCATAGACCAAGAAAGCGCTCATATGACCTTATGCAGTTGCGAGCGCCATAAAACCCTCTACTATAATAAAAAAAATAATAATAAAAGACCAAGAAATGGTTACGGGTATCAAATCTGCAGCCATCATAAAATTTTCATCAATCAGAAACAAAAGTCTTTTCAGAGCGTCAGAGTCAGACTGAAAAATTGTAAATTAGAGAAAAAAAAAAAATTAACCAAAAAGTACATGCTACAAAACAGCCCTCCAAAAAACTTTCAGCAAAACACTCAAGACATAACTCTACCCACACTCAAGTCGAAAAGGAAAAAAAAGAAGAAATTTTGACTTTGTTTGTGGCATGTTTCAGCTACACAATGAGCAGTAACTGTAAGCTTAATTAAGTAGAGGAAATATTTCAGATGACACTGCTTCATTTTGGAGAATTTCATCACCCATATTTGCAAAACGACAAGTTAATTCATGGTTTTTCCCTCTGTATTTTTAGAGCAGCGAAAATTCCAGCCATTTGTTGCTAAAAAAAACAACAACCCAAAACCCATAAAAACAAAGAAAACAGTAGATATTCAAAGCAGAGACTATTTGGATTACAAAATATCTCTGAGGCAGTTTTGCAATTGACTTATAACAGGAAACTGCATAATTTTCTTCGAACCGTTACTCGGGTTTGGGAATCGACAGAACTATTTGGCAACAGCTGAGGATCTGCAACCCCTTATCCCTACCAGTAACCAGCCATGGGGGTATTGCAGTCTCTCTATACATTTCATTTCAACCTTTCTCGCCAGAAGAGACAGCGTAAATTTTTTAAAACATACAGTCGAAAACATTTTTAACATACAGTCTATGTCTAGTATACATATATAAAGTAGGACACGTACATTACAAACATATTTTTCAGATCCCAAATTCTTTTTTATAGGGCCTACTTCACGTACATTCTTTGTAGTATTTAAATATACATACCAAAATTCGTACATAACAAAACGACTTCCACATCCTGCCTATTTCACAACGTGCAGTCTAGACTGCATTCTGAAATTGACCAAACTAATAACTTTTCCAGTCATTCTCCCTCTACATTTTGCATGTTTCGCAATACGAGTCAATCATTCTCACTCAAAGAAATAGTGGCGGGGGAAAAAATCCATATTCTCAGATCACATGAATACAAGAAGAATCGGACTCACTTGTACGAACAATGGACCGTGCACTTCAGCACTAGGCTAACAGGAATGTTCAAAGACCACGAGCGAGGGGTTTGTATCTCGTGCCAAACCTTCTGTGTTTGGTTCTGAGGTACTTGTCACGTTTAGTTAGTTGTTAGTTTTAGTATACTGGGTAGTAAGAGTTTTACGGCACTTACAACAAAAATGGAACAATAATCGGAGGTTCAGGTACAATCTATTATGTTTAGTTGTTAGTTTTAGTATACAGTGTAGTAAGAGTTTTACAGCTTTTACGACAAAACAGGACAAATAAATACCCACATTCAGAGGTGTTACTAGAGAGTAACATTTTTACAGAGAGTAACATATCAAGAAAAGAAAGAGGAAGGACAAGGAATGATAGATGTGTGACAGGAAAGAAGGAGCAAAGCACACATCAGAGCACCCGCCAACCACTCAGAATCTATCACGGGAAAGGGTTGAGCGCACCACATCAAACACGAATCACAGGACGTCATGAGCCCAGCTCAAGGGAGCAGCATCCGTTCAACAACTCAACTGGGGAGTGAGAGGGGGCTTATCTTGGCCTTTTCAGCACATCTCAAATGCTTTTTAGCTTTAGTAAGTGTTTTACGGCACTTGCAACACAATAAGGTCACATAAGTGCCGAAGATTAGAGTGTTACAAGAGAGTAACAAACACAAAAAAGAAGTTTGTTTGTTTTAGTAGAGGTTTTACGGCGCTCGCAACTGCATAAAGTCATATGAGCGCCATCACAAAAAAGCAGGAGAGATAAGGACGATAGGTGTTTGATAGGAAAGAAGAAGCAAACCACACCAGAGCACCCGCCAACAACCCACTCACATGTTTAAGACTGAAAACTGTTTGACAATGAGGTGAGGAATAAAAATCTTGTCTCCTGTCTCTGCTTAAAAGAGAAGAAGAAAAAAAAGATGAGCCATTGACTGTCCGTTGATAATTTCGACTGACAGAACCTTCTTCTACGGGCATGGGGACACAACAAAGCTTCTTTGTACAGACAAATACAACCATTTCTTAAAAGCTACAATGAAAAAGAAACAACCAACCAACTAACAACCCATAATTCAAAGAACCTACTGGTGATTAACATAATCAGCTGACCGCAAAAAAAGAAAAAAAATTGGGACAGCAGAGAAATCAGTACTATATATAATATACAAAAACCCAAAAAGCATATATATATCAATCCCACAGGTGAATATTATGGAAAGGAGAGGAACATACAGAGAAAAAAAATAATTTTTAAACCAAAAAAACAACCAAACCCCCTCAATCATGACATCTAGAAAGCAACACCACTACCGCTACCACTCGAATGTAACCAAATGAGGCAACTAACATTAATACAGTGCCGTCTTTTTTACAATGAGGCAACTAACATTAATGCAATGCCACCTTTTTTACAATATGTAACATGGGATGTGGGGAGGTGGGTGGGGGACGGTTGTAATCGGAGCCCTAAAACAATAATATATATATTTTTAGGAGTTTTAGAGACTACGTTGGAAAAGCTTTGTCATCAGTCCGACACAGAACTGTCGGACACTTTCTTAGTTTAGTTTTAGTAGAGGGTTTTACGGCGCTCACAACTCCATACGGTCATATGGGGTGGATGTCAACAGAGAAGTCCATACAGGGAATCAGACTTACTCTGCTCACCTCTCTAGCTTCAAAAGCACAAAGTCTGCTTCGACTATCAAGGCACCCCGGAAATAGTGGGTCACAAGAGTGACACTTTCTTAGGTGTTTAGAAAATTATCAAGACAAACGAAGAAGCAAAAGGCCACCGTGCATAACCACGGACACTACCGGTACCGCTTCATTGCCATTTTTACCCCACGACTAATCGAAATCAAGTCTCCACTTTTATGATGTCATGATTGTGCAAACTGTCCTGCCTCTCGATAGTTGTTGTATACCTTTGTTTTAGCAAGAATTTTACAGCACTTGCAACACAATAAGGTCATGTAAGTGCCGAAGATTAGAGGTGTTACATCACTCTCACGTACAGACCCTGTTTTTGTTTTTAGAGGAGAGGACAATTATTGGACTTACGTACTATTCTCTAGACTCAATACTTCACACCAAAATAACGGATCACATCTGTCATTAGAACGGCAGATCTAAATCTAAATCAAAATTATCACAGCACAACTCTCTTTTTGCTGGACACAACCGCATTACAGATTATTCAAAGCTGACACACGGCCATTCTTCATGCAGTGCCCACATACATGTATATGTACGGGGAAAATTATGAGTTGGCATTCAGTATTCAGCCATGTTCCAAAAACCGTGCTGTAAGAAGAGTGACATCTGGCACTGACAGTGTGCAATGCACAGGGCTACCGTCTACATACGGGGGACTCCATTAAGCACTGTTGGCGGTGAGATACATCAATAAATACAGCATGTTTTTTTTCGCAGCTTTTCACAGAAATTCCAAAGAACGTACAAAACATTTATGAGCAATAATGTCACATGTGAAGTTAGGAGGGCTAAAATAAGGTGGAAAAAAAACAAAAACGACCCCCCCCCCAAAAAAAAATAAAAAATTATCAGACCTGCCAACCACTCCATGATAAAAAATAGGAGTTTCCCTCAGAATCTTCCAGAAAAATAGTAGCTTGGGAATATAAGTCAGAACTTCAAGAACCCCTTTAGATAAATATTACACAACAAGCCGACAGTGGTTAAAGTGTGTACTGCGAATACACGCAAATCAAATATGTTCATATCGTTTATGCTAAGTGGTGCAAATATTGCAAACAAAAAGGTGTATTTTCATGTCATTTACGAGTTCAGTTGTTCAAATATTGCAGATAAAAAGAAAGTCTGTATTTTCACATCATTTACGATAAGCCACACAAGACCTGGCAAAAACGCAATTCAGGAAAAAATATTGAATCTGATTTTCGGCAAATCTGAGCTCCTATTTCATCAGAGTACCTAGCAGGTCTGGGCTCTATTCTTCACAACAAACGTTGGACCTTTCCTCACTAAGAATGACATTCAAAATGTATGTAATTAATTATGATCATGTTTAATATGATGTGAAAGGTGGGGGTGGGAAGATTATATTTCAGGAGCTCAATTTCACAAAGAATTAACCGGCACACTGCAACACACGTCTCTCACAAGCTTTTTTTCTTCTCTCTTTTCAAAAGGCAAAAACTTCCTGCTCACAGAAAGTTGGTTTTCTTTTTTCCCACTCAAAATCACGTAGCTCATCTCACTTTTGCACACAATGATGTATGAATTGCGACATAAATACACAAGTCGTACAGTCGAACCTGTACTAGAACAAGTCCCAAGGGAGCAAGAACAAAACTCTGTCAGCAACCTATTTTATCTTAGATATAAGGGAACCATGGAAGGGGGAGTTTGTGGGGAGGGGGGGTGGCATAAAAGTCAGAGCCAGTAGAACCAAACTTGGTTGGGAGTTTCAATTCCAACCCAGGACCCACCGGGCAAAGCATTTTTCACCACTGACAGCTTTTTAGTTTAGTTTTACCAGAACACCCGCCACCCACCCACTTTCTCCGTCTCGTCTAGTATCTGGGTTGTGTAGTACAGAGGAATGTATAAACGGAGGACTGAGCAGACTCTGTCCTGAATAAGGTTCCAGCACGGCAGGTTCGACAGCACAGAAATACCCATCACCATAACGCGTTGAACTAAAGAAAAAATACATGACATTCAGGAGCATTCCAAAAGCCTTGGACCATCATTAAGCAACAGCTGGGACTAAAAAGAACTTAAAAAAAAAAAAAAGAGCATCAAGAAATAGACACAAACTTCAACAGATGTTCGCATAACTATGTGTTCCCACGAGGCACTGCTGTGCTGACTGTTGCCTTAGACCACACACAAGTTACGTACGGTCACTTCGACCAGCTCATTCTTTCACAACCTTCGATTGTGAGACAATATAGTATATAGTAAATAGTATTTCTTCCTACAACAGCGCAGCTATTGCTGCGGGCTGATTTCCGTCAATGGCAAAGTCAACCTTCAGCACACATCTATTGCGCCTCCCAGCTAGTGTCTGTTTGTAATGAAAGCTTCCCCGGAAGTTGAGATTGTTTCAGAATGCTATTAGGTGTAGGCCTACATGGGTAATCAAATAAAATAGGTTGTAAAGTGCACACAGAGCTTGCCGTTGTGTGGGAATTTGTGTTTAACAAATGTCAGTTATCCTTATCTGACGTTCTCCATGGCCCAAGCTGTTAGTCAATGAACTAAGACATTTTGGGACACCCTGCAAACGATACAGACACGCCACTAATCCGTTCATCATCATCACCATCATCATGTCCATTCTTTCCCCAAGCACCTCCATCCAGTAATTAGTACATTCTCAACTCATAACCAGCTGCTCAAACTTGACGATGTAAGCTACGACATTACAGCATTCAATCAAGTTCATATATTTGCAAGTCAAACATAAACAGTGGCAACAAAATCCGTACAAAAACGTCTACCTGCTCCGAACTAAAAAAAAAAAAAAAGAAGAAAAAAGCACTGAATTATGCTAATGATAATGTACTTTTTAAATTTTGGCTATTACTTGTAGAAAAAAAAATCAGCTTGATATAGCTGTAAATAAAAAGAATGGAAATATCAGCTCTGCATTGTAAAGAGTCATGTAATGAGCAAAAAATCCCTATGCTAAATCAATTTGTCCAGTTGTCAAAGTGATATAAACACATATCGAAAGAAAGAAATAATATATTGTGAAATCATGGAGAAAACATTAAGTCCTGACTATGAGACCAGTCATTGAAAATCTACGAAAACAAAGACTGAATAGCAACATTGTACGAAAAGAAAGAAAATCGACTGTTGGTGGAGCTGCATTAATCTTCTTTCAGTCCAGAATTTGATCGCAGAGAAGACTTATCCACGTTGGATAAGGCCGACAGATCCATATATTATATCATTATTGGCAACAAAGAAATCCCGGAAACAGCTTCTGTCTTTTCCATATCCAAAAGAATCCAGACCTTCAGGCACCACCTAGAAACTTGTGAGCAGCAATCAGCTTAGAGGCCGCGCCCTGGGGGGAAAAACAGTCAGAAAAAAACAAAACATTAGTAATTTTTTTCATTAAATGAGTTTTTAAATAACAGCAAAAAAACACACAAAAAAACCCTAGAAAAAAATAAAATTGAGTTCGGTTTAGAGTTTTAGTAAGAGTCTTACCACACTTGCAATACAAATATAGGTCATGCACATGCCCAAGATTACAGGTGTTACTAGAGAGTAACGTACCGTACAAAAAAACAAGGGAAGGGAGCCAAGGACGACAGATGTTTGATAGGAAAGAAGGAACAAACCACACCAGAGCACCCATCGACCCCTACACAAATATACAGATTGAGCTTACGTTTCCTTATATAGACCTAGACACAGTTACTCACTATGATAGAAAGTAAGTTTTCCACTTCAGTAAATGACATGGGTATAAAACATTTACACAATGTGTCAATATGGCAGAAATATATTATACGTATATGCCCTGAAAAAATGTCGTTAATATGAGCATGTGACGTATTACCGTTTTATAAAACTTACTGGTGAATATTAATATTAATCCTAACTGAGAGCAATACACTTGGTCTCTAAATTCTCAAATATGATTTTGATTCGAGGCGCAAATTTTAAACTTTCTGCACAGCTCAGCATATCTGTTCAGCTCATACATAAAGCCAATCAACCCACCAACATTTTGTTCTACATTAAAATGACACTGTCCTGGATGTCCATCTTTCTTAAAGACAACCACTTTACTCCTTGGCAATAGGCGGCCATCTTGGATAATTTCAACTGTACATATAATATATAAAATATGGCAATGAAAATAGAGCATTTACAGACAGGAGTTGGGGAAGCCTGTAAGTATTCACTTATACACAAAACTCGGATGAAGCACTACAGTTGCAGTTTCATCCCAAATAGGACAGACGAGAGAAAAAAAAAGAAAAAAGAAGATCTATGGCTGAGTACTGAGTCTAGTTTAGTTTTAGTAAGAGTTTTACGGCACTTGCAACACAATAAGGTCACATAAGTGTCAAAGAATAGATTATGTGTTACAAGAGAGTAATATACACAAAAAAGAAGGAGGGGAGATAAGGACTACAGATGTTTGATGAATGATAGGAAAGAAGGAGTAAACCATACCAGAGCACCCACCAACCACCCACTGAGACTTCACAGAATGATCACATGGAATTCATAGACAGAGTTACTATAACAACAGACACACACACAAAAAAAGGCAGCACTTGACAGCGGTTAGCGATGAATATATGCAAGAGACATAAGTTAGCCAACAGACAGTAGTTAAACAGCAGCAGTGTGACATGGGAGCAGAATGTTAATGCTAAAACTGCATTATTGTCAGATCAGGTCATGCGCATGGAAATTCTTCGAGGGAGAAGCATGCAAAATTCATAATGCAACAGATTACAAACAAAAAAGGAGAAAACACATTTGATGCAGGCAGATTATTACATTCGTGAAGCGCATAATTTCCATACGAACTTAAATCCTATGCAAATCTAAGTGTTCAAACTGCACATAACATAACAAAGACCTGAATAAAGAATAAACTAATACATTCATTATATTCATTTTTCGTGGGTCATTAAAATTTAGTTTAGTGTTAGTAAGTGTTTTACGGCACTTGCAACACGATAAGGTCACATAAGTGCCGAAGATTAGAGGTGTTACAAGAGAGTAACAAACATAAAAAGGGGGAAGAGAGATAAGAACGATAGATGTTCGATAGGAAAGTAGAAGCAAACCACACCAGAGCACCCGCCAACTATCACAGTCATTAAAATGTGAGTTTTTCACGATACAAAACATAAGGAGGTAAGATGTACTTATTTTTTTTAAAGAGGAAAATACTGAAATAAAACCTGGAAAATACGAAATTGTGACGGGTGAGAGCCACAATGACAGAAACTCTCAGACGTGAAGTTTAGTGATTTAGTTTTGGTAAGAGTTTTACAGCACTTGCAGCACACACAAATTGGTCATAGAGGTGCCAAAGATTAGAGGTGTTACTGGAGAGGAACATGCAATATACAAAGAAAAGGAAGAAAGTTTAGTTTTAGTAAGAGTTTAACGGCACTTGCAACACAATAAGGTCATATAAGTGTCCAAGAATAGATATAGGCGTGATACAAGAGAGTAAAAAACACAGAAAAGAAGGAGGAGAGATAAGGACGATAGATGTTTGATAGGAAAGAAAGGAGCAAACCACACCAGACCACCCACAAGGAAGAAAGACAAGGACAATAGATGTTTGATAGGAAAGAAGGAGCAAACCACACCAGAGGACCCGCCAACCACCCACTCACATGCGAGGAATCTGAGGGAAAATCCTTGGAAAGACACATGAGAGACTCTCAAAATACCAACAACTTCAACAACAAAAAACACAGAAAAAGCACCCACAAAAACCCATTCCTGCAAAAAGACCCAGATACTCAATAAAAAATTCTCTCTACTCTAGAATCAGACTCTCCAGTCCAAAATACCAGCCATGTACAACATCAAACCCAAACTACCTCCCTGTATAAAAACATTTTTACAATGCAGTATCTCAGGCAAGACTAGAACAAAAGAAAGGTTGAAAAAAAGGAACAAAACAAAATAAAAAACCAAACAAGAAATTGCTAAACAATGCAGCAGGAATACATTTATCACAACAACAAAAAAGAGAGTGTAAAATTCCTTCACTGAAAGCTGTTGTCTTTTTTACTGATTAACCTACGTAAACTCAAAAGCAAAACGTTTAAGGGCAGTGTCAAAATGGAGCTCATTTGATATAAGATGAGAAAATTATTTATTGATGTAAAGAGTGAGTTAGAATTAATCTACACACTAAATGACCATGGCTCCAAAACATGGACACAAATTACCGTTTTCTTAATGGTAAACAAATGACACGACTATTTTCTTTCCATTAATGTTTGTTCGGTTTATGTTTAAAGTTAAAGAAAAGCACATTAACTGTCATTCAGTGTCATGAAAAAGCATGACATGCAAAAAAAGAAAAAAAGAGGGAGAGAGAAACAGAATCAACCAGTGGCACCTTCCAACCATGAACAAAAAAGCTTTGAATAAATCAGTCACTTGAAGCCAGAAGGAACTGCTGGGGTGTTTACACATTTGAGTTTTTAGATTTAGAAAACATTTTACCGCACTTGCAAACACATTTAAGTCATACAAGTGCCAAAGATTAAACGTGCTAAAAAGGAGGGGGGAGGAGGACGATACATGTTTGACAGAGAAGAAGGAGCAAGTCACACAAGAGCACCTACTAACCACCCTAAGATCTATCTAAACCCAGTCCCAAACTTTATAAAAACAATAGAAACTAAATCAGTATATTATTAAATTAGTCACTAAAACGTGTTGTTTGGTGTCAAAACAGGAGGAAAGGACAACGGACTTCTTTCTCTAATTCGACGCAGACAAATCACGTCCAAAATACAGAAAAAAACCCAAACAACCCAACTTAGAACTGGTGACATCAAGGGCAACTCTTCCAACCTGTGTTAGGAATCTGAGAAAGAGGCAGTTTCTTCTGCTGTTTTACTTTTTAGTACAGTTCTACAGCGCTCACACTGCATAAGGTCATATGAGCGTAAAGGGGTGGATGTAAACAGAGAAGTCCAAACGGAGAATCAGGCTTACTCTGCTCCCCTCTCTATATTCAACAGCACAAAGTCTGCTTCGACTATCAAGGCACCCGGAAAACAGCAGTTCACAAGAGAGTGACAGACAAACACACAAAAGAAGTAGAGGAAAAAAATGACGATAGTAGTAAGGATGAGGAAAGAAAAAGCAGCAATTCCCTTCCTTTATAAAGCAACTTAGTATCACTTTTTTTCAGCTTCATGCTTTCCAAGCATCATAACATCAAACCTTCTGCTGGGCCTTACAGAAACATTAAGCAGCATAACATTATCTTTAACAGTGTAATAGATTTAGCACCCCCCCCCCCCCCCCCCCCCCCAACACCACACACAAAAAGGGGGGGGGGGGGGGGGCAAAAAAATGACACAACAATAAAATGTACAGGATAGTCTGTTGAAAAAGTCAGCCTGAGTTGATGGAAGAAATAAATACATGTACTACGAAAAGCTTTACACAGCGGATGTGGGGGGAAAAAATGACTACAAATGGATATTATGTGTATATATATATATATTTTATATATTATATATATATTTATAATCACTGGCAAGATGTTTAATTAAATGTACTAAGTCCACAACACAAAATGTTTCAGGATAGAGAAGAAAAAAAACTGTTCCATCCAACAACAATCGTACCTAACTTGGGTGTCCCTTCTTGCTTTTTTCAATACTTAGAATTTTAATTTTGAAAAAGTATTCAAAGAGCACATGGAAACCATATCACAGATTTTACAGTCTAGTTTTTGTAGAGGTTTTACGGCGCTCGCAACTGCATAAGGTCATATGAGCGCCAGAAGAGAGTAATAAACATAAAAAAGAAGAAGGGGAGATAAGGACGATAATTGTTTGATAGGACAGAAAAAGTAAACCAAACCATAGCACCAGCCAACAACCACTTAAATTTACAGTTGTACATCTGAACAGCTGGCCAACAATAAAAAAGCTAAGCCTTTGGTTGCTGGTGATAATCAAATGTGTCACCACATGATAGAATCAGGTGCGCTGCAATTTTTGGGCATATTTGAGTTATTGGTTTCATCTTAAAGCTTCTTCATTTAACAATCTTTTGATGAAAAAAATACACGTCTATCTAGCCTGGAAGTCGAGATATTTGGGACAGAAGGAGTTCAGGGTCGCCTGGTTTCAGAAGTAAAATTAGTGAGAAAATGGCACCCAAAGTTGGGGAATATCCAAAGCTTGAGAGTCCTTGGAAGCTGAAAATTTACATTTGTTGTGCCTTTAATCAATGTTTTTAAGTAAAACACACACCGAAATGTTTTGTTGTTATGTTGTTGTTATCGATCCAGCTGAAATATGTTTTACTTTACTTTACTTTTCTGAT